TTCTGCCTTAAAACTTATGGGTTGGAAAGGTATCACTAGCTATTTAACAAAAAATTACTTGTTTTTCCTGAGTTTTGTCATGGCGTTTTAGTAATTTATACAGAAAAAGCAATTCCCAGAGCTGCCATCGTATATGCTATACTTTTATTTGCTTATTTGCAATGAAAAGGCAAAAATTCGAGCAGAATGAAATTTTAACCATGAAAAATTTCAGTGGAACTTGAAACGAGTCGAGTGGTACCGTATCGGATGTCAGCAAACCTCAGCCATTTCTTAGGCCTTTCAGTTGAAGGTACATTATTGTTTCAGAGTGTTTTTTCTTTTTTTCGTATTCAGTGAAAGCATCTCAGTAACATCCCTAACAAGCAGGTCCCTCATATTGTTTGCTTGGGAAAATTGATTTTTTTTTCCCCTTTTAAAGAACCATCGATTTTAGAAAATTTTCTTCCTGGTTTTCATTTAAGCCTTCATTATGCGGAATAATTTCTATGCAGTTTAGGTCATTTTAACTGTTCAATGGTGGCAACAATACGTTGTTTCAAAGAGCGCGAAATTGTACGATACGCATTGCTGTTTCTTTGGGAAGCAATAGCAAAACGGAAAAAAGTGCAGTTTTCTGAAATCCTGAAACTCACAGTTAATGGTGGAAAATTAATGCAGAAAAGGCTACAAGGTATGTTTTTTTTTTAGCCTATTTCGTGTTATTTTTCCACGTAAAGGGCTGCTTGCATGAAATATAGCGTGCAAAAAAACTGAACCAAAACGTAAAATTTTATCAATAGCATTCTTGTAAATGGAAAACTAATTTCAGAATTACTTGGTTCGATGTGAAGGCACGAGAAAAAGATTGTCATTCTTTAAGATAAAAATATATCGTCTCGTTTAAACTTACTTCGACTTTGGCGGGTCTCCTACCCCCTCTAGATTGTTTGTTAAGCTAAACCTCTTTTGCTGTAGGTTCTGCGGTCTGCCAAAAAATGGAAATTGGGAAGGCCATGGCATTGAAGGCATTAACATCGAACTTATCGGATCCTAAGGGCAAAGTAATTCCTTGATTTAGTCAGTACGTAACGGGAAAAAGAACATCCAGCATTTAAAAGGATGTATTGCTCCATATTGTTAGATCTTTTCGTATTACATAAATGTCAGTTAAAAATTCTGTTCATATATCATATGATCCTAGACCTGGTTCCTTTTCCTGGCAAGTGCAGCTGTGTTAAAATCTTTTGCTTCAGAATAGTGCAGTGGTGCTTCAATGGAGATGTGCTGAAGCAGATTAAGGAAAAATGGAATTTTTTTTTTTTTTTTCATGGCAAATTCGGCCACTACTGTGCGCATTTTTCAGCCGGGCAGAAAACACTGCAAAAATATTTATAAACCAGTAAAATCCTTTCGCTAACAGTGAACTGTTACATTTCAGATTTATGGCAAAAAGAAAAGCTGACTAGATATATTGCCCAGTTAACCGAGAATGCGCGTACAGTACAGAATTTGGCTCGCGTGGATCCACGTTTGCATCCTTGGTTTTGAAATGCTACAATGTAAATTTGATATGCAGTGGTTGTATGTGCAATTTTTTTAATGCCCAAACTGCTTATTACGCGATTTTTTGCATAGTTTTTGCAAAACTGCATATTGTCGAAGGCTATCGGTGTGTATGTATATGTCTATGTGTATTCAAATTTTTTTCATTTGCCCTCAGCTCAACAACCCCAGAATCAAGGAAGCTGGAATTTTACAAGGATGTTCCTAGTCAGCATGCCATCCAAACAGCTTAAAATCAGCATTCTCGTAACCGTGGGGGGGGGGTTAAAATTTCCCTGATTTTATACAGGATTATGCTTGTGGATATGTGGATGTGCGACTTTGTTTAGTGCATGTACGAGTGTTTTTTTTATGCATGTGCATGCATTTTTCATTACATTATTTTTTTAACTGCAAAATTGCAGTAATCCGAAGCAGTAATTCCTGCACAGGCGTAAAAAATAAAGCAAAATACTGAAACAGAAAAAAGAGCTGAAACTAGTTTTCAGCTCTGTTTATGTCGTGAGTTTCGTAATGGCAATTCAGAACGGCAGTCTAAGAAGAAAAAAGAAAATTGGCGATTCAGCCATGAAAGCAGATTTGTACATCTTTTCAAAAAAAAAACTTTTCTTTTGATCTCTTCCATTTCCGGTTGCTTATGATCGAATCCTTGTATTGTTTTCTGTTGGCCCCGATTTTCTTTCTGAAGAAAGGAATAAGGCAAGTTAAAAATCTGCAATAATTCTATTTCATGAAATATGTCAATTTTGAATGAAATTTGCAACAAAAATCAGAGAACAACGGAAACCGCTTTTGCATAACCGTGAAAATTGGCCGATTTGGTGTGACGAGGAGAAGGATTACTAGAGAATTTGTTTTTATGATTGTTTTTTCTATCGCATTTTCTTGTTTTCCATGTACATGATTGTTGAGTTTACCATTTCCTAATTTTTCGAATTTTGAGATTATACTTGACACAGTGCTGTTTTCTTTGTTTCGGATAAAATTTTCAACAAAATCATTAATCAGGTTTCAGAAAAAAAGCACCTTAGGATGAGTAAGAACATAATCAGTCGATAAGGAGACTACTAAACCTTGCCGAAGCACTTCTGACTAGAAAATCACTGAGCTAGTAACCTCTCTAGGAAGTAAAAGAACCGTTAGAGTTAGAAGAAAAGATACATCAGCTAGAAAAGAGTAGCATCAATTGCAGAGACTGACCACAAAAATTTTTCCTATTTGCGATGTGGGAGAAACTTCAATGCGAGACCACACAACTCATTTTTTCTCGCTATTCGCCGAATATAAAAAGGCAATGTGTTCATCGAAGATCATGAAGTGGACGTTGATATGCATCATAAAACATCCAGGTCACACTCATTTATACAAATTCTCAACATAAAGTGCCTTAACAATTCAAACCTTAGGGCTTGCTAGCTATGGTAGTTTTTTGCCGTCAAGCTTATCATTGCTCATTTTTGGAATACCCGAAAGGGGGGAGGGAGTTAAAATAGGCTAAAAATTTGTTTATATTAGCAAAAAAGCAAAAAAACGATTGGTTTGCGCCATTTATTATCTCTGTAATCTGTGGCAGTAATCAGTGCCTTTAGTTTTAAAAAATACCGAGATTGTCAGAATCTCGCCGGCAGTCGTTATGGAATATCATGCCAGTGACACTGCTGGTGTCGTGAACGGAGCCCTGTTTCGAAAATTATCCTGAACCGGGGTGAGGAGTCGAGCCACTCCTGTTCATGTTCGGACGCAACACCGGGGTTACCTCAGGTTCAGCCTAGCAGTGCATGCACTGTGAATCTGTCTTTCAGGACAAGATACAGCCTTCTTTTTTCTTTATGACGGCTTGTTGGCCGACTTTTCGCGGTTTTCCGTGACAGTTGAAATACTCCAACATGCAGAGGTCAGCTATGCCAGCCTTTCGATTGTGGCTTGCATACTTTAGTTATCATCCAACGTTTGTTCGGTGTATGTGCGCCACCTCTTCCAGGGCAGCCTGATAGATCGTTCACTTTCTCTCAGAAGACTTTGTTCACCAACAGCGTTTACTCAATGTCAGCAAAGTTGAAGTAAAAAAAAAAGAACTTTTTACGTCCAAAAAATTATAGGTAATTGGGTTTTTTACTAAAGTAATGCTCCTGAAAGAAATTTCAAGACGGCGCTAGGGAGATTTTGGTATTTCTTCGAGGACGACATATGTTTAATATATTAAAATTTGCGAGAATTTTGTTGGCCAAAGGTACCTGTTTCCTTGCGTTTTTTTATCGAATGGAAAAGTAATTCTTATGAACAACATTCGAAAAAAGTAACTATTGTTAACCAGTGGTTGCACTTTTTCTGCAGTTCCACGTTGAGTGAGTCAGCACGGCAGGGGTTTTGACTTTTGACATATTGCTGTTATGGGGAGTGCAAGAATTCGTTAATGAGCAAGTGTGCGCAAAAAAATTTTCCAATGACACCCGAAAACAACTTGTTTCTCATTTAGAGTTGTCTCCTTCGCCACAAACTGTACTTAGCTCTTTTCCTGCACTTCTCCCTCGTCACTTCTTCCAGCAATCAAATCATGTACACAGCGCTTATATTAATCGCTATTTGCAACATTTATGGCTTTGGACAGTATCTAGAAGCAGAATATCGAACAGTAAGTCTTACTGTACGGCAAAGTCTTGACACTCGCATAGAACTGGTAGTTATAGTTGTTTATTCAGGCATCGTATTCATCAATTATTTTCATATTTTGAATAAATTCAGTCAATGGACACCGCAGCCGGGGCACTGAAGAGGTCCAATTGCGGTGCTGAGCAGAAACGTATGCGACTTGACGTATCGAAACATTCCTGTTTCGTTCATAATCTCAATGCATTTTTATATTATTACTAAATTCTTTCCTCCAGTTATAGGCCAGTAATTTTGCTAGCAGACTGAACGTACTCGAGAAATGCTGCATCGCCTCGTAGTCGTTGTGGCGTTCATTCCGTCTCCAGACTTTTCTTTATCGAACTGTAACCGGAACCCAGGCTGGAACGCACCAGGCGGGCCGGTGCAATTATGCGTTTTTGCACTTTTTCGTGCCATAGCAAGATCACAAGGAATCAAAGTAGCTAACCCTGTGAAATACTGGCCCTCGAGGTTCGGGAAGTTAATCGTGCGACTATGTGGTAAGTCAGTTGCAGGTGTCGACTTCAGTGACCCGACAAATGGAAAGTTGCTGGTTCGCAAAAAAAGGCCACGCTAGAA